TTTTAAAAGGTCAGACCTCTGGCTCCTGCCCCCCCTTCCCTCCAGCTCAACTGTCCACCAAACAATAAATAAGTCTACAGGGGAAGAATAACACTGAAGAGATATGCACACCTTGGAATAGTCAACCATTTGAGGCCAAAAGGGCAGTATTTACCCAAGGACAAAGTCCAGTAGGATTACGAGAGGCAGAAAAGACACAGGAAAGGAAGCTAAGTGAAGCTACTTTGTGGGAACTGCACCAAGGAGATGAAAAATACAATGTGTCCAGACTGTTGAATGGATAACTGATCTGCTCTGAAAACTTTCAACCAATTCACAATAAGAAGTTTTTTAAAAAGACAATAGCTTCCCATTTATATATATATATATATCAGACATTTCTATTATTTTGTAATAAAAAGAATAAAAATTAAAAACAAGGGAAGCTATGCTTCTTAGCAGTAGCGTGGGCTGTGGGAAGGAAGGACGACTCTGAAAGCCACTGCCGCCACAGGCAGCCCCAGCCACGTCTTGAGGAGGCAGCCTGGAAGAATGTATCCTTCCCTTGTTCTGACATCCACAAGATTGCTGGATTTCGAAGGAGACTGGTGGAGGAGTGGCTACGCACTGGTCTGCTAACCATAAGCTCAGCAGTTAGAAACTGCCAGCCATTCTGTTGAAAATGAGGCTTTCTACTGTAGTAATTTAGTCTTGGAAACCCACAGTGGTGGTAGCTAATGAGTTGAAAATGGACTCGGTGATGAGTTTGGAGAGAGTGATGCATGTTAAGGGTGCCCTCATGATGTAGTGGGTTCCTCGTGGCTGTTAACGGCAAGGTCAGCAGTTTGCACCTGTCAGTTGGTCAGTGGGAGAAAGTCAAAGCTTTCTGCACTTGTAAAAGCAGACAGCTTTGGAAACCCAAAAGGTAGTGCTACTCTGTCCTATATGGGGCCACGATGAGTGGGAGCTGACTCAATGGCAGTGAGTTTAAAGTACTGGAGCTTGATGCATGTTCACAAGAAGTCTAAGTTTTGGCTAAGTTTTGGATGCTAATTGCAATGCCAGTGGCTCAGACCCCTGCTAAGACGAGGCTGTCTGCGCCCATAAAGATTCTTAGCCCCAGAAACACTTAGAGGGTCACTGTGAGTCAGAACCAGAGTGATGGCAGTGGGTATCCATGTTTAAAAAAGTCGTGTGGCACAGTGGTTAAGCACCGGGCTGCAAATACAAGGGCTGGTGGTTTGGACCCACCAACTGCTCTGGGAGAGAACGACAACGCTTCTATAAAGATGACAGTCTTGGGAGTCCCTACGGGGCACTTCTACCCTGTTAGGAGATGGACTGGGATGGGATGGGCAGCACACAGCAACACCGCGTGTGAACAAGTTTGCAGTTTGTAACCTGTGGGTACCATCTGTATTGTGTTAAATGACCTGTACTGTTCTCCTGGGAAAGACTCCTTACTGTATTCACAGGCTGTAACTAAAGTGATGGGGAATGTCTCTCTTGAAACCTGCACCTTCCGTGATTCAGACAGCTCATTTGTAAGACTTTCTCCACGTTTACTGTGAAAAACAATGGTCTGCTATGACATCTAATTTGGACGTGTTTAACCAGCAGGGGATGAGTTACAAGAGACATTTGCCATTCTAATTTTCCAATAACTGCTTAATTTGGCTGGACCTTAGCCTTGTCACTGATTTTTAGAGAAGCAACAATAAACAGTTATCATTTTAGTTTTCTAAGAATGACTGCTTCCGTTTGCCCTTTGCCTTGTCACTGATGAGGAGAAACAGCCACCTCGAATAGTTGTCCAGGTGATTCCAGCTCATGGCGACACCCCTCCTCCTCACCCCATGTGCCACAGTTGCACTGCACTCCTCAGAGTTTTTCCCCTAAAATCCCCAGATTTTCCTTCAGAGGTGCCTCGGGGTGAGTTCACACTGCCATGTTTTCTTTAATTTAGTGGGTGGGGCTGAGCCACTTATGCCACTCAAGGGACCCCAAACCCAAACACAACTCACTGGCACCCAGTGGATTCCAAATCACACCGAGGCCTGAGGTCAGGACAGAACTGCTCCTGCAAGCTTCCGAGACTCTACCTCTGTATTGAAGTAGAAAGCCTCCTCTTTCTCCCTCAGAGTGGCTGGTGGTTTTGAACTGCTGACCTTCTGGGTCAGCAGCCCAATGTGTAACCACTACACCACCAGGGGTCCTGGTCACATTAACATATCACAATCTAAATTGGGAAGCTGAACACTACCTTTGTTTCCTCTGGTCTGAAAGCTGGTGGCTCCCTGGGCACAGTAAAAGCTATAGAGCCACGATTCGGAAACTTCGCAGAAACGGCTCCTTTATCAAGAAGACATGTTGTACACTCAGAAACCTGATGCGGCTTTAAGCCTAATCAATTCCCCAGTAGACACCAACAAGCAAACAGCTTACAGTCGGGGTGCTTTGGCAGAGATCCAGGAGAGCCAATCCTTCCTCCCCTTTCTGAGACAGGTCCCCAATAACCCCACCTCTCCGCACTACTACATGTCTCCAACATAGAAAGGAAGAGGGTGTTCAGATGTAATCAGATTCAACTTTCCCCTTGCAAAGTGCACCACATAAATAATACATCTCCACCGGCGTTCACTTTGGGGATGGTCTACTTTCTCTGCTGAGTGGCAGGACACCAGAATGGGAAGGAGAAGTCAATGTCAGAGAGTATAAATAGCTGTGGCCAAAACCAATATTGCAGAAGAGGCGGCAGAAGGGCTCCTCAAGACCTAATGCCAGGGGCTTAAGTGATGAGGGCAATCAACGTACAAACGTGCTTTACACAATTGATGTATGTATGGGTTGTGATAAGAGTTGTATGAACCCCTAATAAAACGATAAAAGAAAATAAAAAGGGCTCCCCAAGCTGCACCAGGAGTGACTTAATTCCATGTCTCACTTCACCAGGGCCTGAGAGGAAACCACTGGCGGGGGAAACAAGGCCACCAAGGTTCACTTAAGATTCCCAACCTCATGCTCAACAAAGAACTTGCGTCTGAAACACACAGTAAGTACACACCTCAGCTGGAATGGCCATGAAAAGAAAACGTCCTCTGGCCTAGGTCCTACAGAGAGAAACTGCTACCCAACAGTCTTCTCAGATCTGTTCGAAGGCACCCGCGGACATCAAGACTGGCCTTAAAATTGATGCTTGTGGGAGGATTCAGCATCACGTGGACAATCCAAATCTGAACCATGTACCTAGCAAACCTTGCAGTGTTTGTGTGTGTTCCCGGCATCATCACCCGTCAGACACAACCCCAAGGGCCGGCGATGGGATGCCACGATGGTTAAAAAAAGAACATTTGAGATCGTTAAGCTGCTTCGCCTCGGGGCACACACTTCACTTTCTAAACGTTTGCTGCTAGCTGCCGGCTGGCTCTCGCGCTTTTGTCGGATGCCCTAAGTTTGCCACGATTCTGCAACACAGCACAGACACCGACACTCCATCGGCAGCAGCGTGCCGTGCCGGCGAGCAGAAAGTTATATAAGCAAGGCAGCCCCTTCTCTGAGGAATTAGTTCAGGTTGAAGCGAATCCAAGAAATCGCCTCTCCTCCAGGCAGGGGCAGGGGGTGGGGGAGGGCGAGGGCACGGACTGGGTCGTAGGAACTGGGTAAAAACCCAATGCAAAGTGTACGGGGCAACAAGGGCATTCCTCGGGCCGGCGCGTGCACGTGCGAGCGCGTCCGCGTTCTCCGAGGAGCCCCTGCACACCTGGCTAACGGTACCAGGGGAAGCAGCACCACGGCGAATGCCAACACGTGCCAGAGGGGCAGGGGGCCGTCCGCCGGCGAGCGACGCCGTGCCCTCCCGGGGACCCGCACACCCCCGGCGCCGCCACC